CTGCTTCGATGTTGGGTGGGTTCAGTGGAGCTGGTCGATTCAGAAGTTCCTTAAAGTGCTCTACCCACCTATTTCGCTGTTCGTCAGTCTTGCTGATTATTTTCCCCTCCTTGCTTTTCACTGGTCGTTCTGGTTTACGATAGTTTCGGCCAGCTTCTTCGTTGTTTCGTACAATTGTCTCATGTTTCCTTCTCTTGCAGCCTTTTCCGCCGTCATTGCTAGATCTTCCACATATTTTCGTTTGTCAGCTCTGATGCTCTTCTTCACTTCCCTGTTTGCTTCTGTGTATGCAGCTTGTGCGGTAACTTTCCCCGCTCTTGTTCGGCTGACATTGATTGCTGCCTTCTTGTTCTTCCTTTCTTCAATTTTTTCAAGAGTACCAACAGAGACCCATTCCTTGTGATGGTGCTTCTTGCGACCAAGGACCTCCTGACATGTTGAAGTGATTGCCTCCTTAATCCCTTTCCAATTGTTCTCCAATGTTGCGTCCTCTGCATTGAGTAGATCCTGAAAGGCCTGGAACCTATTGGTGAGGGCTGTCCTGAATTCGTTGAGCTTTACAGTATCCCGAAGAAAGGCCGTATTAAACTTGTGTGATGTTGTCTGTCCCGTTGTCCAGTGCTTCTTTAGTTTCAGTTTCATTTTGGCGATCAGCAAGTGGTGATCTGAAGCTATATCAGCTCCTCTCTTGGTTCTCACATCCTCCATAGTCCTTCTGAACTTTTTGTTGATACAGATATGGTCAATTTGGTTTTGAGTAGTGTGATCCGGTGAAATCCATGTGGCTTTGTGAATGCGTTTGTGCGGGAATATTGTGCCACCGATGACCAGTTTGTTGAAGGCACATAGGTTTGCAAATCTCTCACCGTTTTCGTTCCTTTCTCCCAGTCCATGTCGTCCCATGATGTCTTCATATCCAGTGTTGTCCATGCCAACCTTGGCATTCAGGTCTCCCATAAGAATCGTTAAATCCTTTGGTGAACATTTATCGACGATTGACTGCAGCCTTTCGTAGAATTGATCTTTAACGTCGTCATTGTAGTCATTGGTAGGTGCATAACATTGGATGACGTTCATTGTAATGTCCTGTTTCTTTGTTTTGAAGGATGCTTTAATGATCCTAGGTCCATGAGATTCCCATCCTATCAGTGCCTTTTGTGCATGTTTGGACAGCATCAGTGCAACTCCTTGTGTATGTGAAGCGTTTTCCTCTTCATGACCAGAGTATAACAGCAGTTCCCCTGAAGCAAGTCTCAGTTGTCCTACCTGTGTCCAATGCGTTTCACTGATGCCGAGCACCTCGAGGTTGTATCTTTTCATTTCTGCCGCAACTTGAAATAGTCTTCCAGTCTCCCACAATGTACGAACGTTCCATGTACCTAAAAAAAATGGTTGCTCTGGTTGTCAGAAGAGGCATCGGCCCCGTGACTTCCGAGGGAGCTCGGCTTTCATCACGAGACGTCATGATTCTTCTTCCAACTCCCAGGGCAGAGTTAAAATGGTTTGAATTATTTTTTTTCTGGTTAGCGTTTTTTTGGCAAGTGAGATTTCAACGGAATGGGGTCGCCAACCCCATGTCCAACCCTCCTCCTTTATCCGGGCTTGGGACCGGCAGTAGCCCCTAAGGTTCTACTGGCGGAGTTTATAGTTGTAGTGCCTCCACACAGTTCGCTTACATCTAACTTGGTTAAGCCCTTTCGATTAATTTATTTAACCAAGCCATTTGTATAGCAACAACCTATACGTACCATTGGTATTTTTTATTGTCTGGTTTGTATGAGCTTGTACGACTGAGCATTGCTTACGCCTACGCGCTTACTCATCCTTTTCGCTTTAATTTTAATCTCTTAATATCCCCATGAACTCACATGATTTGTATCGCTTGCTTTTGACCTTGTCAATCATTCGTCGCATTTATTCATGTGTGTGCATACCTATTTCGCTTGTCATATGTCTGCCTGACTATATATTCTTAGTCATACTCTATCTCTTTGAGTTGGCTCTTTGCCTTCTCCGACGCGCTTCGCCTGTCCATTCGCTTCCTTCGTTTTATTCTCCGCTTCGCTTTGTGGTGTGTCCCGAATAAACGTATTCATCAATACGAGTTCATATTCTGATTTATAAACCGAGCTTAAGAACACGCAATAAATCGTGACACCACATAGTATTAAGTCCTAGTGCAGAACTAGCTCTCTTAGACTGGATCCCGATAGACAGTCGCTTATGCGCTGTCCGACTGAACGGGGCGATACGGACTCGGGAGGATAGGGACACTTGCCGGTGCCTCTTCGTCCTATCTGCTTACGCCCCCACTGACTGCAGTTCAGCCGACATGAAAGACTAGTTTTGTAGAAACCTCTCTAAACTTCTCCAAAATGTTAAGCGCTCTGATATAGTAATAATGGCTGGTGACTTTATTGCTCAAGTAGGTAGACTAAGTGAAAAGGAAAGACACCCAGGTGGATGTTATGGTGTCGCGATTCAGATAACAGACAATGGCGACCGTCTGTTGCAAATACGCTCAGATAACCTCCTATTTCTAGCAAACACTAACTTCAGGCATAAGGAAAAGCATCTTTTGGACTGGTGACCCCTAAAGCCGACCCAACTAGATCACATTGCTATCAGCCACCGATGGAGGGGTTCGATAGAGGACTGTCACTCGTTCTAGGGCACATGTCTAGATTCAGATCATGCTCTAGTGCCAGCGCGAATTTGTCTGCGACTTACCGGACGTAGGAAAGACAGCACAGAAACATGAAACGGTTCTACTTAATGACAGCAGTACTATGAATGTATTTCATGAACTAGAAAAAAAGTTAGGCGGCCATGTAGTAAGTGACGCCCACCCTGAGGCAGCTTGGGATGATATGAAAAAGGCTGTGGAAACAGCAGTGATATCTGCTAGTAAGGTAAACAATAAGTCTAGGGAGAAGCCGTGGATTTCAGTAGCATCTACCGAACTGATGGATGCTCGAAAGCTCATTCCGCCTAGCTCTGAGTACGATCAGGAGCGAAGTCAGCTCAAGCGCAGGCTGATAAAAAGCCTTCGCAATGATTGAGAACTGTGATGAGTATCGAAGGCAAGGGAGATGGAAGAGTCAACGGCGATAGGCAACAGTAGACAACTAATCAGACTCATCAAGGAAACCCGTATTAGGAATTCGAATGTGAGTGAAACTATTTCGGAAAAGGGTGGGACTACTTTTCACTTTCAATCTAGAAGATTGGATCGATAGGCAGAACACTTCAGGGATCAGTTCAAATAGACTTCAGCCACACTCCGGATGCCCACGATCCCCAGTCATCCTGAATGGCATGTCGACATAAGTCCTCCAAATCTTTATGAAGTTGAGAAAGCAATAAGAAATACGAAGCAAGGGAGAGCTGCGGGTCCTGATAGATTGACCCCTGAGATTTCTAAGGATGGTGGTCAAGTTTTAGCAGCTAGATTGACTGAGAATCTGGGAACTGGACACAATCCCTGATTGTCCTAGTCTACAAGGGCAAAAGTCCCCTTGTGACAATCACACGGAAATAAGTCTAATATCGTTTCTAAATTTTTAGCCTCGGTTATCCCTAGACGCCTAACCATAGCTCGTGAAGAGTGTCCTACAACAGTTGTGTTTCTGGACCTAAAAGCGGCATCCGACTCTGTGGATCGTGAGGTTCTGTGGCAGTGTCTGTCATTGAAAGGTGTACCAAAGTACATTCACCTCATACAAGCTCTATACTCGAACATTACTGGTCGAGTGAGAGCTTATGGCGAACCGTCATCTGAATTCTCCACATCAAGTGGTGTCCGTCACGGCTGCCCACTCTCTCCATTCTTGTTTAACTTTGTCGTAGACATCCTCTTAGAGTTAACATTATCCTCCTTAGATTTTTCAGAGGTGGACCTTCTACCAGGAAAATCGCTTACTGACTAGAATATGCCGATGACATATTTCTATTCGGTGAAGACGCTGACAAAATGTAGAGTCTTCTGACCACCTTGAGCAGCAATGCAAGCATGTTCGGGATGCGGTTTTCCCCCTCGAAATGCAAAATGTTGCTTCAAGATTGGCTTGCGTCGGTACCTGAACTAGTGATAGGGAGTGAAGTAGTCGAGTGTGTTGACCGCTTCACTTATCTGTGGAGTCTCATCAGTGCTGATGTCCTGGTGACTGACGAAACCTCTACACGGATACAAAAGTCTCGATTGGCTTTTGCCAACCTGCGTCACTTATGGCGAAGGTGAGATATCCATTTGCTGACAAAAGGATGGGTGTACTATGCAGCAGTTCGCCCCGTCCTACTTTATGGCTTTGGAACATGGCCAATCAAAGTAGAAGATATTCGTACGTTGCTGGCTCTCTATCATGTGTCTCCGAAACATTGCTCGAGTATCGAGGGACAACCGAGTAAGCAAGTGTTGTTGGGAAACGGGTCCTAGGTAAGGATGGCAGATCAATAGATGAAGTAATGAAACTTCATCAGTTGAGGTGGTTGGGACATGTGTTACAAATGCCCAACCATTGACTGTCTCGTCAGGCTGTCTTGTGGTGTAGGAGTAGGAGTAAGTTGGACGAAAGCTAGGGGCGGCCAGACAAAAACAGAGCACAAACCCATGAAGTCATCGACAAGTCGGCTGAGTCATGTCGTTAGGTGTCGACTACCTGTTTGGAGTCCGCGAGATAATAATAATCGATGGTTAGATTGTTATAGATATTGAATGACATGGCTTAAAACCGTTTGTAATGGCGCTGGTGCATTCATCCTTTGTGTTCTCTCAAACCCTCGTTCGAAGTGTTTAACCATCGGTGACTTTCGTCTCGATGACCCCAACCACGTAGCCTACATCTAACAACATGACTCAGTCCACTTGTCAGTGTAACAAAGGTAATCGGGCAATAAAACTTTGAAAAATAAAATCCTTATGATTTTTACCAAGTGTAATGAATTAAATTTCGACTAAAATAGACAACTATCATAACTAGATGACTATGTACCAATAGAATGAACTATTTACCAGCATAAGGAATGAATATGAAATCTTATCACAAAATATTCTATTAATTTCCATAATATTACGCCTACGTTTGTTTCTTAGAATGACAAAATCGTCATTATCTACATCGTTTTGTTTATTTCTTAAATAACCAATTAACAAAATATAAGAATAGCATCCCAATTCCGTGAAGAAATTAAATCAAAATAGCACAGCTGAAGCATAATCTTGTGATTTGTAAAACAATCTATCATTTGACAGCAATAAATGCTTCAATTAAGATCGAAAAAATGAAGAAAAAAACAGGGGAGATGAAAGGAAACATGTACAGAATCGCCATAATTGACCAAGAGAAGTATAAGGAATGCCAAACCTATGTTGATGCAACGGTGGTACAACTAGATTTCATATTTTCCAGTGCAAATATCTTTGCCCCTAGCTTGTGATTTTTGATCTGACACAGGCTGAAAATAGATTGTATCTTCTAATTCCAAACGCTCTTTAATTCGCCTTCCAATCTGCATAATCGTTTCTTTCTCATTGTCACTAGTCAACCAAACTGAAATCTTGTTACCCCGAACACGTGGTTGGAACACTGCCCCACATATCTGTTTATCTTCTTCGTCTGTATCCCAATCAGAACCGATCAACAGCATTAACAATTCATCCCACAAACTGAAATGGTAAAAACACTCAATACAAAATAAGTCAAAATTTAAAGCAAATAAAATATTGCCCATGATTTTTGAAAACAGACCTCTACGTAAGTTGCATTTTAGCACTTGTCATTGGTAGCGTAATGTGATAAATCAGGAACAGATAAAACATCGGTACCCTAATTTTCTTCATTACTGCTAATACTTTTACTATCGCTACCACTATTGAATTTGAACTGACAGTTGCGTCTGTGTTATTGTGGTATGGCAACCTGAACTGATGTACGTACGTACGAAGTTCCACTTTATAAGTGACTGACTGAAAAGATCCCAGTGAGGACTATAAAAGTATTACACTAATGTCTGTATCAGATCTAGAACTTGAAAAGCAACCACCACCAACACCAAAAATTGAAAGTATTTATAAACTGATTTCCACACAACATACTTTAGTCAGAGACCAACACGAGTAATCTACTGTGGTAAAAATCTGACCTGCTTCCACTTGACAAAATTATGAAAAATTACTGGAAGACACATTGTGAAGACCGTCAAACTACATCACAAGGCAAACCTTAACTTGGAAAACTCAAAGGTAAAAGGAAAGAGGAGAACCAAAAAATTGCATTCAAAGCATTTATAACTAGATAAGTTCAGTGAGTCACAGATTTGTGTTTGAGTGACTGTAATGGTACTACATAACGCAAGTTCACTAGCACAAAATGAAGCTAATTTTCATTAAAAACATTGACTATGATTGTCTTAAGGAAAAACACAGGGTTTCTAAAATATACCGTACATCCATTCACCACTAATGGTTCCAAGTAATAGCTGCATGGCAAGAACAACAGCTAAGTAAGATGTATTTTCGAGTGTCACCTGCGAAATATTTGACTTGAAATGATGCAAGTTCCCGCTAGGGTTACAGTTACGTATCAGTTAGGCAGGATGAGCCACTCCCTACTAAGACTATCACACCAGTTGTTTATCAGTGGGAAAAAATGTTGAAAGATCTGGTTCGAGAGAAATGTAGTGAATAATGGCCACAAACGAAGTACAGAATTTTGTCCTTAATCCTTGAAGAATTATCAGTCTTTTATTAATGGCAGAAAAAGCTTAACTATTAAGTCATTGACAAGTATCTAGGGAATTTTTTAACAAGATTAGGATACGACCAGAAATATGAACAGAATAGCAATAACATACGTTAACGACTTGGAGTAAGCTACTTGGTGGAAAGTAACAAGCATTGTAACCACATTCTTTCTGAAAACTTAACCCAATAATCACGAGACAATTAATGAACGTTAATACACACTACTGGAGATCGAATACAGAAAGCGAATTAAATGAACAAAATAAATGTCATATATCTAGATCATAGACAAGGATTTGTATGGTTTTAAGCCACACCTGTTTTGTAAGGCTTAGTAATACCAAACAGCTGCCCAAACTAGAGCAGTCCCCATCTAAGTAATTTGGGTTAACACAGTGGTGACAGGCATCAATGATCCCGATGTTATTCTGCACAGGAGACTTTGTTGACCATAAGTTAGTGACTGACATACGAAAACACCAAGCTCAAGGTGGAAACAAAAGAGTATGTCGTGATTTAAGTAAGTTGGTAAATTGTTTACAGTTTTTGTAAGTCTGCATATCTTAGTGAAAAGCTGTCTCATCTGCGAAACTTCGGCCTTCACTGTCTTTAACGAGGAAAAGTTGGGCTACTGATATGAATCATATTTCAGGTTGTAAACTCAAATCTAACGGTTATAAAATATATTCCTTCTGTATATTCATGGGAGACTGGAAGGAATAAAGAAAAATAACCAACTTACACATTAACATCCTGTCGCTGAGAAACATTGATTAACCAACGTCCCCCATTTTCATTTTTTGGATCCTCCCATTTAGGCATAATATCAGATTTGAACATATATAAATCACTGCCATTGGTTATTTCTTTTGGTCTAACTGTATGAGTAAGTACGCTCCAGAAATGTTCAATTGTGTTGAAGGTTGCCACTTTTTCCAGACATTCATCCCAAGTGAGATTCTTATTGAACTGGAACAAGTAATAAGACCACCTAAACAACCATCTAACTAAAACTTAATTTTTTATTACGAGTCTTGTAGTGGGTTCAAGCGCAACTCCTCCTCCTCCTTTTCCGTCTGTTCCTCTGTTCGTTGAACACTCTCTACTGCCTCCATCCAAAACGTGCGTAAGCCTGATCTTAAAATGCGCCTGTACTAACAACTTGTGTTGCATTCAATAGTGAAATTAAAGAATATCCAACGCCATGCGAAATAATACACCTCTTCGATAAAGAGATTATTTTTTCTCACGAATATGTTGTGTGTCATCAAAAAATGATATTTTTAGCTAGTTTATTTTATTTTGATGAGGTTTGGTGGTCATCTCGACTAATCTAAGAAAATGTTTTTTAGATAGATTTTGGAAAACGTTGGAAAAGTGGTCTCAAGTACTGGAAAAGCACAAGAATTGCACGACTGGAGATTAAATAGTTAGCACTTCAGTGGATATCGCATTGACTTTTCTATTTCTTTTCAGTTTAGAAAGGATGAGAGGCTGGGTAGCCTTTTTCTGTCCTGGCTATGGAAGTCTCTTATCAGATCCACTATTCTTTAGGACTCGTCAACCAACAGAACCTAGATGTGGTATTAATATAGGTTCGATATTCTGATTATTTAACTAAAAAGTCGAGAGCCAGATGAAAATTAATCCACCCCCTTCAACCATCCATTTTTGAAGATAGGAAAAACAAGGTCGTACCAGGTGCAAAGTCTCTGCTGGGTGATTTAGAAACCGTTGTCATGTTTCTTCTATTACATTTTTTGTGGGAATAGGTTTGGTTTAGCCAGCCTTTATTCATACAAAGCACTGAGATTTTAGTAGCCAATTTAGCTCAGGTGCTTTGAACCTGTGGCGGAAAACAGATCTACAAAATAAACACTTCTGCAAGTCTTCGACATTGATACTGACCTTACTAGTCCGAGTGAATACACACTAGCTAAAGACGGGTGGCCCGATATTTTGGTAATCACTGGGCATAATGATTCGATCGGAAGTATTTGGTGGAAATTATCAGATAGGATACCGACGACTAAATTCATCCGAGCTGACTGTCATGCTCTAAACTATCGCCTTCACTGGCTGTTACACCCCCTTCCAAGTATTGACACCACTGTCATGTAGTAAGATCGGTTATGACAGGATAGAACGGTCTGTTACATGCAAAAGAAACATTATGTCCCAAAAATTTACGTCGGAGCATGCTTGTGAGGACAGTATTTCGGATGAACTACTCGAAGTTAACCAGTGGTTTTTACTGATTTCATTACAAATATAAACAATTATGATATTCTGTGGATTTCTGATCTGGCTTTTCTTCATACAATATTCTAAAGTTACCTAGTAACTTAAATATTCCCGACAATGTTACCCTTTACAAGGAAAGGCATTCACTTCCTCACCAAAATGTGATTGGGAGATACAATACAGAAAGTTCCAAATTGCACCGAAATTCGTATTTGCTTAAAGCTCTGCGTGGATATCCAATCCAACCTTCACAAACTGATAGCCTTTAAGGGTCGAGCATTGACTGGCTTATGACTTAATCAAATGTGACTAAAAATTCGTGGTCACCGATAGTATCAGCAAGAGATGACTTTCTAGGGCTTGATTAACACAAGATGTTCTGTCTCACAAACATGAACAGATTGAAATTATTGCCCCCATCATCGTCTATTGGTCAGTAACTCCACACTTTCCCCTTCCCGTTCATTCACTGTAGATGTACTGAAGTCAAATGCGGGACTAGTCATAGAAATTCGCCATTTGACTGCTTCATTTTCCACAGGTAATCAAATGACATGCTTTGTTTAATAAACTGACTAAATATATATTCCACTGAGAGTCGATTCTAGGAAGAGACTGGAGTAATAGCTCAAGTTAAGTGGTTAAGATTTAACCTAAAACCTCTTATTCAGACTAAAATAGGGTGAATCAGGTATTTTTGATTCCTTCTTTTGTGCACGCGTTATATTTCCTTTCATCCTAAGTGGAATTTCGAAAGTCATGTCCTTAAGCTTCCGACTTAGAACCGAAAACGTTTTACAATCTAAATAGGGTCCTACCACAACTAGGATATAAACTTACAACACATAATTATCAACATAGTAAACTAGGATCACTTATACCACTAATAGTGCACAAATCAGCTACTTGGATTGGCTTCTCCAGAGTTAGGTTTGGTATGGGTCGAATATAAGTTTCAAATGATTCTCGGTAAAAGTAATTGTACACTATACTAAGTGGATATATCTCAGGAAGCCCTTTATCCCTTATCACTTCTGAATCATCACGTTCCTGGGCCTGTAGCATCGGTTAATTAATTGTGTTTTCATGGCTGTTTTGTATCCGAAATTGAATAGGATAGCTTTGGTAAGGTTAGTTTCTCAAAGACATCCATTAAGCTGTTTAATTATTTTGTCTAAACCAATTCGAACCTCAGTACGCTGACATGTCGCCCTCCGAATTCTTGTTATTCCTATACCATAAATGGTTTCTAGGTTTAACGTTTTCGGACGAGGATACTAAGATGGGATTTACAGTGGGCAGCTTCGCACCGAAGTTTGCTTGGTACATGTTAGACAAAGGTCGGAAAGCTTGTGCAGAAGTGCTTTGTACAATGATTAACCTAACAATACTAAGATCCATAAAAATTATATCGGAAGGCAAACTACCAATTTTTACTGTTAGCTGGTGTTCGCTTTCAATGTAGAGATTTATCTCTGAGCAACGATCGGTACTAGACAAATTACGGTGACTAATTATTTTGTAAAAACGTCATAAAAGCACTTGTTAAACTGATAAACCGGGGGATATTTATAAGTTGTATACTTCCTCACTGATTGAGAAGCCCTACCATTACATTCAGATCTGAATCTGAGTAAAGGATTGTCGAGTTACTACCAGCAGTTATAAAACAACATCTAAGACGGACAACAGCAACCGGGACCGTATTCTATCAGAGCCGATGGACTTACCAACTTTGGGTCTACAAAGCCATCAAAAATCTTCATGTATCAAAACGCTGATTCTACGGGTGGTATATCAAGAGAATGAATGTCAGAAGTTTTCCTACACTCAAGTAGCTCCAACTTCAGTAATTTGATGATCGCTCGGGGTTTTGACAATTATCATCCACTTGGTTGCTTGTACTGTCATATAACTTCCATCAAAGATGTACATCACTTCACATGCTGCCCCGACTGAAATAACTAAATATAAAGTTTCATCATGCAGACTTGAATGTATTATACAGAGTTGAAGCTATATTATACCAGATAACAGGTTAAATCCCGTCACGGACAGAAATCAGGCCATTTGAAGTTTGAGTTAAGGTATATTCGTATCCGATCTCGTAGTATCGAAATAATACCAAGATCTGGCCAAAATATGCAGAAGAGAACACCGAGGGGGCGTGAGCAAGCTTAGAGTCATGAAAAGAGGAGGGTGTGGGTTTTTGGTGAAGTTCAACAAGGGGGTATGGTGAAACAATCACTGGTAAAATAGTTTCTATTCATAAATGTTTACATTACACCAATCGCGTTTTCGTCGTAAAGATATTCCATGAAAGCAGTCACCTTCTAGAAATTGGGTTGCACTTTCGATACGTCACGGTTTCGTTCGGGGAACTGGTTGGCAAACGTGTGACTGTAGGGCAGAAGGGTTGACGGACAGGAAGCAGTCCATGATGCTCGAGTTGTTATCGAGGGTCTTTTACGGAAAACGGTACTAGTAGTATCGTGCCATGTTTGCAGCTTAAGTTGGCGTAGCTCACCAGCGTGGTTCGTGTCCAGAATCAGAAGATTGTGTTCGTGGGGGTTCGAACAAGAAAGCGCTGAAGACGTAGGGCGGAACCACATTAAGAGAAGGAACCAGAAACAACCATAACGACCAAGTTTGAGACCATACATAGGCCAGACATATTGGGAACCAAAACATTGCCTGAGTGCATGACAAGAGCCTGGGGGATGAGGCTAGCTTTCTCCAAGAATGATCAAGGTCGACGGTATCAACCGCCGATGGTCAGAGGCTTAGGCTCAGGATAAAAAATAGAAGAAAAAGGGCATGTAGCATTCACGTACTACGAGTATAAAACCCTATACCGTATCTGTTGTTGATTAAGGGATATTAGTGGCGAAAGCATACAGGTGGGTGTACGTGGCTATCAAAACATGAGACGGTAGTCTCGTATGTACATAATGGGCCCGCAATCTCATCCGAAGTCGAGGGAGGTGTGGTCTGCTGATCTGGATGTGAAACCGGAGTCTCATCCGCAGATGGTTCGAATGACGCGTGCTCTTGACTGAGATGTGGGAATGAGGTCTCTGATGTATCCAACGTGGGGTCCGAAGTAGATGTAGGGATTTCACTAGTAGGTTTGGGGGGTCTAGCATAGGGTCTCAGATTATCAGGTAGGGCACTGTCATCGACGTGCGCTGGTTTGAGACGATCTATGCTGACTATCCCGACGCGGCCATGTCGATCAACCTTAAAGGTCTTTTTTTTTTTTTTTTTTTTTTTTTTTTTTTTTTTTTTTTTTTTTTTTTTTTTTTTTTTTTTTTTTTTTTTTTTTTTTTTTTTTTTTTTTTTTTTTTTTTTTTTTTTTTTTTTTTTTTTTTTTTTTTTTTTTTTTTTTTTTTTTTTTTTTTTTTTTTTTTTTTTTTTTTTTTTTTTTTTTTTTTTTTTTTTTTTTTTTTTTTTTTTTTTTTTTTTTTTTTTTTTTTTTTTTTTTTTTTTTTTTTTTTTTTTTTTTTTTTTTTTTTTTTTTTTTTTTTTTTTTTTTTTTTTTTTTTTTTTTTTTTTTTTTTTTTTTTTTTTTTTTTTTTTTTTTTTTTTTTTTTTTTTTTTTTTTTTTTTTTTTTTTTTTTTTTTTTTTTTTTTTTTTTTTTTTTTTTTTTTTTTTTTTTTTTTTTTTTTTTTTTTTTTTTTTTTTTTTTTTTTTTTTTTTTTTTTTTTTTTTTTTCATGACGAGAAATCATCAGAAAATGTGCTTTATAAGGTTGCTGCATAGGTTTGAGCACCGAATTTACTCTTCTGAAAGCATGTGAACAGGTACATAACTCTCGAAGGATAGCTACCTGTCTACTCTGTATTCGAGTTGACATTGAAGGCAGTGTCCGTATATATTCAGACAATCGTTGGACGCAGTCTGATTTATCCATACTATTGCTGCTT